AGGGGCGTAACATTTCCGTCACACGCTTGAGGTATTCGGCCAATCACAACGCACTGGATAGCTGGCCGATCACAGCACACCTCGCTTTTTCAGACTGATGAGCTTTGTAAAAATCGACGCATTTCAGAAAGGTGGGGCATAGAGGAGAAACAATAATGTACAGTATGTGGAAAATAATGTGTTTTTTTAACCATAAACTGCATAAACACATTGCATTACACCAAATACACAAAATAATGTTCTTTTTAGCAACATCATATGACCCCTTTAAAGGCACAATATGTAAGTTTTCGTCGCTGGAGGGCGCATATTCAAAACAAAAAGAAACAAAGGCGTAGTTTGATGATGCCATGATTGAGTGTGGAATCATGGGAGTTGTCGTCTTCATTTCCACAACCGATGCAATCCGACGGGACTCGGATAAATCCTGTTCATTGATGAGCTAATGTATTAAAGACTTATTAAGGTCACTCTAGTATAAAGCAGGGTGAGGCTAAAAGTCGTGGAAGCGAAACGAGGCCGCTGGAGTTATTGCTAATGAAGGACGAGCGTGATATATGGCTCGAAAGCAGCAGAGCTTTTATTATGCCACAGTCGGCCCCTTCTGCTTCTTCCGGTCATGCGTATGTGGGGTAAAACAGCGCTGTTTTATACTAGATACATTTGAGTGTATTTAAAGTTCTGTTATAATGCTACTCTGTGCGCTCGTCTGTCTAATAAAATGCATAACATATTAAAGTGTCTTTGGGGTTTCCATGTTTTCAACAAAATAAAACCGGAAAAATCGAGGGTGTATGACGTCATTGGCAGGCGACGCAATGACACTATGGAAACGGTCCGTGTCACTAGTTAAAATTGCTTATTTCTCTGGATTTCAACATTCTTCAAAAAATTTGGGATAATACAAGTACACAAGTCAGCAAAATATATAACACTGTTCCAGTGGTTTTGGGATATTTTAATCAAAAAATCTTACATATTGTGCCTTTAAGTGTTTTCAGATTAAATGTTTTAGAATGTCCCACTGTTTTTAGTGATTGAAATCTTGCGGAGGGTGCTTTATGTGGATTGCTAATGGCTAAAACTTGCATTTTGTTCACATATCTTTGTTTTATTCTTTTGAGAGATGATCTAAATATATTTGGATTGGAACAGATAGAAAAGTGACGGGCTCGTGTTGCAGTTCTATGGATGTTTTGCCCGCCAGGTGAGCCAGTCACGTGACTGAAAGCTATTTATTTACCTCAGCAGCAACCAGTCTCACGTTTTCGCATCTGCTGCTCTGCAATGCTTATTTTGATCTTTAACGTTAGATCTTTCCTGTTCTTGGAACAAAATTAATGCTTAAGGTTGACAATTACCCTTACTTTAAACTAATGCTTAGTTTGTGGCTCATCAATGAAAAAAACATAGGCTATACTATAAAATAGTAGGCTACAATGACAAATTCACTTATATTCAACTTTGAACTTTTATTAACAAAGTAAATAAGAATAATATGTTTTACCCGTGTTATAACACAAATAAATAAATGGTCTTTGGATTTTCCCTTACTTTAAAACGATTTGTGGTTCATTAGCCTATTAATTAAAACACATCAGCCATAAAATGGTACAATGGCAAATTGGCATATATTAAACATCTAACTTTTATTAACAAAATGTATATAGCAACAATAAAGACAAACTCACTTATATTAAATGAAGAAATGAAACTTTTATTAACATAGTGTCAGTGTTCTCGCATCACTCTCGTCACGTGATAGGAACAGCAAAGCCTTGAGAAATTAATTAAACCAGCTCTTATGGCTTTTAAATGTGCACAAAGCATATTTCTACAGCCAACACAAACTGGACAAGAGAAGTACTGTGATAACAGATAAAGTGGATGTGGCCGCTGATGAAGCTGCTGGAGTTGCTGCTGTTTGTACCACCTGTGACGTCACAACTCTGCCATTCAACGGCTGAACTCCTCTGAAGTTGTTGGTGTTCAGAACTGAAGCGCTTGCATCTTTGAAAAAGACAGTAGTGCTGAAGCGGTTGATCTGTTTGGAGGAATAAAGTAAATAGAGTGACTTGTAACTCAGAATATAAAGAACATTGAATCATGAATATGATTTTAATTAATTACTGTACCAAAGAGTTGCTTTAACCTACCAAGTCATGACTGACTTTGACGGGTTCTTTAAACACTGTCCAAATCACAGCTTCATTACAGCTGGGTATAGTTAGGGAGCCTTGATATCGGTAATATTTAGTCCTGTCCACACCTTCAATCAGACTGTTCAGTGTTGTTTGATTCATGATGTCTGTTTTTGTATTACCTAAATATACAAAAAAAAGTCAATAGGATGTAATGAAACTATGTGGCTGGCTTCGGTCTTATCTTTAATATGCATGTTCAGCGTCTTATCTTTGATTTTATGAAGCACACAGAAAGGCTTTTCATCAGTTGATAAAATCACTTAAAGTGATAGTTTGCCCAAAAATTAACATTCTGTCATGAATGACCTTGTCATTCCAAAACCTGTATGACTTTCTTTCTTCAGTGGAACGCACAGTATTTTTACACTTTGTTTTGTCCATACAATGAAAGTCAATAGCTATGTTTCCATCCACCTATTTTAGTGCGCATTTTGGGATATCCCATAAAAAATAAAAAATAAAAGCTGAATGGAAACTCAAAGATGTGCATAAATTCTAAAAATGCACATAAAAATGTATGCACTCAATTGAGTTGGATACATTTATTGCTTTTTGTCGGCCCGCTCTAAGGCGCAAGTCATTTAATTATATATGAATAAAGCTGTATATAATTGCAGCAAATTACCTTTTACTTAGTGATATTTGGTGCCAGTATATCAGGAAGTGATGATTTTGTTCTCTTCGTCTCGCTGAATGGAAACGGTGCTTTATTTGCAAATGTTTTATGCGATATTCCAATTTAGTGCATAGGTTAAATTCACAACTTTGGATGGAAAAATGTGGACCAATGTTGTTTTAGACCCCTCTGATTTTCATTGTATGGACAAAATATAGCTGAAAATATCTTTTGTGTTCCGCAGAATGTCATACAGATTTGAAATGTCACGAGGGTGAATAAATTATGACAAAATGTTCATTTTTGGGTGTGAACTATTCACTCAAAGAACCGCCGATTCAATAAAAAGACAAACTATTTCATCACCTGAATTGGGGATGCTTGACAACAATGATGTTAGGCTAATCCAACCTTTTGTTTTGTTCGCTTCATTGGTTCCCTGTTGGTTAAATGAAAATACACATTCAATATATATGTGCACAATGCACATGAATATACTTTTAGGTTTGGGTTTCTTTCTGGATATAAGAAATGTCATGCTCACCTCAATGAAAAATCCAAGAACAGCCAATGCTGTGCTGTCGTTGGCAGCTAGAGCAACTGACACATTTCTATTGTATTTTGAATGGACATTTACAATGTGCAGCTTTGAGACAGAATCAGACACAGAAAGAATAAATGGTCATATACTCATACTCAGGCTGTTTTGAGGGTATACATTTGGAATAATGTAGTGACGTAACAACTGTTATAGTTATGTGCATGTCATTCGCAGGGAAAATTCAATCATTCATACCTCCATTGGGTATTGTTTGCCATCCACGGTGTGTTCGGAGCCAGGCGAGGAGCTGCCGTTACCCCAGTGGAGATGGAATTGTATAGTGTTGTAAAGACCTGGAAGATCACCTCCTTGCACTGTCATTTTCTCATCATCCAGGCTAACCAACACTGTGAAGACAATGGACATATTAGGTCCAAAACAAACTATATCATAGTAGAGATCATTGATTTGATCCTTTGATCAGTAATGCGTACCGGATTCGCCTGTTTTTGATATCCCGGAAGGTGGAGTTGTCATCAAAACCAGTGAAGTTGAATGAGGTCAGGTTAGGATTGCCCTGAACACTTGCAGTCACAATATTAATGGGAGATTGCTTGGACCCATTGCAATACTGTGGGGTAATCTTTGGCCAGGTGGTAAAATCTATTACAGATCAGGAGACAAAAAAAATCCACTTCAGAACAAGTTTTTAATATATTAATATTTAACATTTATAATACGATTTATATTAAGTTTTATGCCAATTTGGAATATTTGATAATATAATAAATAAATCACACTTACTGCATGTTGGCTTGTGATAGCACCATTCTGTTTAGAGTATTAACAAACATAACAAATGAAATGGCTGCATTTTCTATCAAAAAAGTTTCAAGAGCCTTTAGTGGCTACTTTAACAGAGTCATTAAAAATAAAAATAAAAAGTAAATGACGATAAACTTCAGTTATACTCACCCACTGAAGCGTCCGCACTGTGGACGGTGGGACACAGAAGAGCAGCAAGGCAAGTTACCAGCAAGACAATCATCTGCATCAAACAATAAACCATTAAAAACAGAAACGATTACTGCGAACAGAATTTAATTTCATTATAAGTTAATTTAATTGGATATGAGAAATATCAGATACAGTTAGCTCCGGTTTTACTGTACCTCTTTGACTTGATTCTGTATGCAGGAATGATGAGTTTGCTTCATTCCCGCCTTTAGTACTCTTCACTGCTCACCAGTGATGGGTGTGTCACTTTCATCAGTTCGTCCACTGATTAAAAACTACATTCCGGTGAAACATTCACTCGTGATCACATTTATTGGCTTCATTCATCTTCGGTAATTACTTTCGAATTTGTGCTTGAAAGATCTTTTTGCATTCTAAACTCTCAGCATTACTTTACTCAATCATTCTCTAACTCTCTCATCATGGAGAAAAAAAAGTTCACTACACTGCACTTTTCCTTTCAGTCTTTAAAATGATTAAAATGAGTTTGTTAGCTGTTGACTTCCAAAAGTTTCCATAATAACTGAAATAAGTAGTTGTAAATAGAAACAGTTTAGAAACAGTTAAGTGTTTTTTTTTTTGGACCTTCTACCCAGCTCACAGGGAACGTTCTCCGACCTTTGGCTAATGTTCTGGCAGTTATGATTGAACATTCCCATAATGTTTGCAACATTATAAAATGGAAAGTTCATTTCTTTATTTAACCTGTTTGAAAGCTCATTGAGATTAAAAATCTCATTTACACCAGTGACCCGGCCAAGAGGGCAGCAACAAATAACATAAATATACAAAATTTACAATATCAAACACAATACAACACAATCATGAATCGCAACAACAATTTACCTGGGGGTAAAGCCCAGAATCTGTTAAAAGTACCTTAAACTCAATCAGTGATGGAAGTATGGTTGGATTAAAATTATTTTGTAGATTATTCTAAGCAATAGAAGTGTTATATTTAAAATCTTTTCCACCAGCTCTGTGATATGAAGCTTAAAAGATCAAACAGAATACCTTAATGTTCCCTTAATGTTGTCTGTAATTTGTGCTTGTCCTTTCTTCTAACGTTCACATGTCCAAGAAAACGAAAAAAAAAATTTGTTTGTTTTTTTAACATTTATATAGCTATTATAGTATTTGGAACTTTCACAGAACATTTACAGATTTTTTTAAAGTGTGTATTGTTAAATTTTTTTTAAAGGGATATTATATTCAAAATTAAACTTTTAGCATAATTTATTTTTCCTCATCTTTCTTCCATGGCAGCCATTAGCCTGCATTGTTACTGTCAATCATCCTCATTTTTCAATAAAGATTGTTGTATAGGTTGTTTACAGTCTCACGCATTTTGAATGACATCAGTTGATTTATAGCCAGTCCTATTTGATTTTGAGCATGTGCAGGAGGCCTATGAACTACATAAGTCTCTTTAAGCAACTTTATTTAGCAGCAAGTCAATTGCTTTCAATGAGAAAACTGATGTGTGTCAGACTCTGTTCCATGTTTCGTGTGTGTCCTGCTCCCCATGTGCCTTCCCATGCCCTTATTTGGTTTGTTTCCTGTTCCTCCCCTGATTAATTAAGTTGATTTCTTCCCAGGTGTTTCCCTTGATGTGTCATGGCTCCCAGGTGTGTCTCGTCATCCCCTCCTCCTGTGTGTGTGTATATAAAGTGTTCCCAGTCCCTAGTTCTCTCTCCGATGTTGAAGGTCTTCCTGTGTACATCTTCCTGTGAACGTCTTCCTGTGTTCGTCTCCCTTGGTTCCTTGGTGCAAATAAAGTCCTGTTAAAAGTATTCTCCAGCGTCTCCTCGTCCCTCGTGTGTGTGCACCCGTGACAGAACATCGGACCGAACTGTAAGCGGCATCCCTTCTCCGTGTTTGATTTCCGGTTTTTTGTAAGTTTGTTTTGTCCTGTTCCTCCCCTGATTAATTAAGTTGATTTCTTCCCAGGTGTTTCCCTTGATGTGTCATGGCTCCCAGGTGTGTCTCGTCATCCCCTCCTCCTGTGTGTGTATATAAAGTGTTCCCAGTCCCTAGTTCTCTGTCCGATGTTGAAGGTCTTCCTGTGTTCGTCTCCCTTGGTTCCTTGGTGCAAATAAAGTCCTGTTAAAAGTATTCTCCAGCGTCTCCTCGTCCCTCGTGTGTGTGCACCCGTGACAATGTGAAAGGCATCAAAAAGTTATGATCATAAATGTTATTAGAGGCTAAATGATCGCTTTGTCTGAGGAATAGATGCAAAATGTGATTCGCTCTCGTTTCAAGTCAGTCCAGGTTGATCTTTTTAATAAAATGTGACCGCTGTCATCGAGGGGAAAGATTTTCTGCAACTTGGCACCTTGCACCTATAACACAAAGATATGGTATAGCTCCAGAAGACCGTTCTAGAAGACAGCGGCTTCAGTTCCTGCTTCTGCCTTTGCTTCTGGCTGTTTTATTTAATTAATCTTGCAGACATTAATTTGTTGACTGACATACTTTGAAAAAACACTCTACACAAAA